AAAATTTTTATAATATATAATTTTTAATAAAAATATAAATTGTATTGTTATTAAAATTAAAAAATCAATTGAGTATAACCAAGAATGATGTCCTGAGGCGATATGTAAGCAGGCAGCCCATACAGATATTTTTATTAATTGACGCTATATTGTAAAATAAACATATTTTAAAATTTTATATTTCAAATTATTATAATCTTGATAGAAATTCCTAAGGCCATAATTTGTAGACATATCCTTTCATTGTTGTGGGTCTACTAGTGTTGTTAATTAGTCGTGTTCTTTACCTACGACTAATAGTCTTAGTCATGGAAATTGACTAAAAACTTTAGTCGACTAAAACGACTAATATAGTCGACTAAAAAGACTAATATAGTCGACTAAAAAGACTAATATAGTCGACTAAAACAACTAATTTAGTCGACTAAAACGACTAATTTAGTCGACTAAGTTTATCTATTTAGTCAGCATATAGGTAAAAATATATATTGTGAACATATTAAGTTAAAATTTATGTGAGAAAAGTGACAATTGTCATAATCGTTATTTTTGAACTTATTCAAAGCAAATAGGTAAAAATATATATTGTAAACATGTTAAGTTAAAATTTTAGTGAAGATACCACAGAAAAGTCACAATTGTAATAATCGTTATTTTTGAACTTTTTTAAAGTAAAGAGGTAATATATATTGTAAAGATGTTAAAATAAAATTTCAGTGAAGATGTACCATAGAAAAGTGACAATTGTTATAATCGTTATTTTTTAACTTTTTTTAAAGTAAATAGGTAAAAATATATATTGTAAATATGTTAAAATAAAATTTAGTGAAGATGTACCATAGAAAAGTGACAATTGTCATAATCGTTATTTTTTAACTTTTTTGAATTTTTTCAAAGCAAATAGGCAAAAATATAAATTGTAAACATGTTAAGTTAAAATTTTAGTGAAGATACTACAGAAAAGTCACAACATCATAATCGTTATTTTTGAACTTTTTTGAATTTTTTTAAAGTAAATAGGTAAGAATATATATTGTAAAGATGTTAAAATAAAATTTCAGTGAAGATGTACCATAGAAGAGTGACAATTGTCATAATCGTTATTTTTTAACTTTTTTGAATTTTTTCAAAGCAAAAGGAAAAATATATATTGTAAACATGTTAAGTTAAAATTTTAGTGAAGATACCACAGAAATGTCACAATTTTCATAATCGTTATTTTTGAACTTTTTTTAAAGTAAATAGGTAAAAATATATATTGTAAAGATGTTAAAATAAAATTTCAGTGAAGATGTACCATAGAAAAGTGACAATTGTCATAATCGTTATTTTTTAACTTTTTAAAATTTTTATAAAGTAAATAGGTAAAAATATATATTGTAAAGATGTTAAAATAAAATTTCAGTGAAGATGTACCATAGAAAAGTGACAATTGTCATAATCGTTATTTTTTAACTTTTTAAAATTTTTATAAAGTAAATAGGTAAAAATATATATTGTAAAGATGTTAAAATAAAATTTCAGTGAAGATGTACCATAGAAAAGTGACAATTGTCATAATCGTTATTTTTTAACTTTTTAAAATTTTTATAAAGTAAATAGGTAAAAATATATATTGTAAAGATGTTAAAATAAAATTTCAGTGAAGATGTACCATAGAAGAGTGACAATTGTCATAACCGTTATTTTTTAACCTTTTTGAATTTTTTTAAAACAAATAGGTAAAAATATGTATTGTAAAGATGTTAAAATAAAATTTCAGTGAAGATGTACCATAGAAAAATGACAATTGTCATAATATTTACTTTTCAACTTTTTTGCTGAAACGAGCTGACTTTAGCCTATGCCCGTTATTATTAACTGCCATAATTGACGTGTATGGTTTAGCAAACCTCGCTAGCTCTAAATTGACAAATCATGATTGAAATAATATCTAGATTTGATAAATACTCATAAAACTTATTAAAATTATAGAAGTGTTTAAACTAAATAAAATATATTAATTATCATATATTTTAATAAAAATTAAAATTCTGCATGTAAAAATCTTTTGAAAATTTCACAAAATTTTATTTCTAAATAAAATTTTTAGCAATCATTTACTAATGAAAACTATATTAGGATAAAATCAGGGTTTAACATTTGCTCAAAATTCAAAAATCTTCACAGATCGTTGCTCTTTTGAAGATCAAAAAATGCGAAGATTTTTTCGCTAAAAAAAATTTTGAGCTTGCTCAAAGAAGATTTTTGAGCAAAATAAAAAATATTTTTTGTAAAAAAATCTTCTATAATTTTGAGAAAATATTTTGAGTTTGTAAGGAAATCTTTATTAAAATATTTTTGAAATTTTGATCTTAAAATTTTTTGGTAAATTCTTTAAAAATAAAATTTTTGATATATATTTTTTTTTATTTTATTATGTTAATGAAAATATTTTTTTTGAATAGGTTGTAAATGTGAGAATTGGTCATAATACCGACTCGACTGCATTTTTTTTAATATTTGGAATAAGTAATAATGATTATTTTAAAAATGTAATGTCATAATTTTAATGTTTTATATTTAATGTAAACTATAAAAGTGACAATTGTCATAATACTCATCTCAGAACCTTTAAAAATAATTATAATTAAAAAAGGCTAGTTGAGCATGTTTTGAGATGGTTTCAGTGATTGTAAAGCATATAAAGGTGACAATTGTCATAATACTTATTTCACATATGTTTTAATTGGAAATAGAGAAAAATGATTATTTCAAACATGAATTAATATAATGTGTAAACTATAAAAGTGACAATTGTCATAATATTCATAAGAGAACCTATAAAAATAATTTTATTTTTAGGTATTAAATAGGCGAGAAAAAATTTTTTGAGCATGTTTCGAGATGGTTTTAATGATTGTAAAAATTGTCACAATCGTTATTTTTAAACTTTTTTAAAGCAAGTGGATAAAAATTTATTAAATATAAAATTAAATGTGGATGTACCATAGAGCAGTGACAATTGTCATAATCGTTATTTTTGAACTTTTTTGAATTTTTTTGAAGCAACAGAGTAAAATAATAAATTGTAAACATGTTAAATTGAAATTTAAATGTGGATGTACCATAGAAAAGTGACAATTGTCATAATCGTTATTTTTAATCTTTTTTGAATTTTTTTGAAGCAAAAGGGTAAAATTATATATTTGTAAACATGTTAAATAAAAATTTCAGTGAAGATGTACCATGGAAATGTGACAATTATCATAATTGTTATCTTTGAACTTTTTTGAGTTTTTTTAAAGCAAATAGGTAAAAATATATATTGTAAACCTGTTAAATTAAAATTTCAGTAAATATGTACCATAGAAAAGTGACAATTGTCATAATCGTTATTTTTAATCTTTTTTGATTTTTTTTTAAGAAATTATATATTGTAAACTTATTAAATTAAAATTTCACTGAAGATCTACCATAGAAAAGTGAAAATTGTCTTAATCGTCATTTTTAATCCCTTTTAAATTTTTTTGAACTTACAGGGTAAAATAATAAATTGTAAACTTGTTAAATTTAAATGTGGATGTACTATAGATAAGTGACAATTGTCATAATGGCCATTTTTAATCTTTTTTGAATTTTTTTGAAGCAAAAGGGTAAAATAATAAATTATAAACATGATAAATTAAAATTTAAATGAGGATGTACCATAGAAATGTGACAATTGTCATAAACGTTTATTTTAATCTTTTTTTAATTTTTTTTAAGCAAAAGGGTAAAATTATATATTGTAAACATGTTAAATTAAAATTTCAGTGGAGATCTACCATAGAAAAGTGACAATTGTCATAATCGTTATTTTTAATCTTTTTTGAATTATTTTGAAGCAAAAATATAAAATTATATATTGTAAACATGTTAAATTAAAATTTAAATGAGGATGTACCATAGAAAAATGACAATTGTCATAATCATTATGATCATTTTAGAATTTATTTGCTGAAACGAGCAGGTTTTTAGCTGAAGCCCGTCCATGGGCGGCCTAGCTTAATAATTTTAAAAAGTGCGTGCGAATCGGTTACAAAATTTTAACAATTAGCGGGCTAAAAAATTTTAACTTTAGTTTATTATTTAAAATCTATTAGGTAAACATTAAAAAGAATCTATGAATATAATTCCCAGGAAATAAAATTCCCATTTTTTAAGATATTAATAATTACAAAATTAGTAAAATAGTCACTATCTCCAGGTCTCTTAAATCTTTCTACATCTACATGTTGGTACCAATTAACATTATATTGTTTATTATATATAATCTTTTAGATTTTTCCTCACAGGAAGAACCATCTTATTCTCAAAATATTTCAAATTCAGTTTTATTTGGTATAACAAATAATTCTTAACCCAATCAAATAAATTTTTCTACAATAAACTCTGATACCTATCATAAACCACAAAAGAAATATAGCAATTGGAGTCAGGAAAAAATTGCAATAGCCATAAACAGAATAAGAGGCCATCCGTCAAACTCCCTCCTTCAAGGGGGAAAACGTATCGGTTTTGGGTACCATTACAGCAATGAAAATTAAAAAAAAATTTGAATTCAATTTTATAAAAAAAAAATTATATAATACTTTTTTTCAATCTGGTGCCGCCTCGCTGGCACCAGCAAATTTCATTTTTTTGAAATATTTTATTTTCTTTAATTCATAAGGCAAAACATTAAAAAAATAAATAAAGGAGGGAGAGAGAGACAATGGGAAAAACGAAAAGAAAAGAAAATGCATTTTTTATATCTTCATTTAACATTTGATTTTTTATAAATATAAATAAAAAAAACATTAAATAAATGTATCCCATCCAAATTTATAAATGGGGGTTTTATTTGGCCTCAATAAAACAATTATTTTATTCATTTTTTTTGTTTTATATAACATTAATTCCTGATTTTTTATTTCAAAATATAATAAACAAGTGAAAATAAAAATTAAAGGAAAAAACAAGAAAGTTAAAATTAAAAATTACAAAATTTTTTTTTTATATAATGCAAAATAAAAAAAATCTCAAAGATATTCTAAAGGAGCCATTTTTAATCGATTCTTCTGAAAATTTAGCGACGTGCAGCATGTGTGACAAAAAGATGAAGTCAATACCATGTAAAATAAATTATTTAATGTATTTTTCAATATATTTTTCTAGCAAATCTTAAAAGACACATAACCTCTCAACACCCAAACATAATGAAAGCAGATGAATCTAATAGTGATTCGTCCTTCAATGCTAGAAATACAGCAAAAGAAAAATTCCCAAAAATTAAGATCGATAAATCTAAAGTAATTAATATTTAAATAAAGAATAAATAATTATTTTTTAGGTTTTTGAATGTATAGTATGGTTGATTACAATTAAATTGATAAAATCTCACAAATATAAAAGATTATTTATAATGGACAAAGTTTCGAAACCCACGCTAGATACTGTTACTAGGTGGTGGAATAGTACTTATCTAATGATGAAAAATCTAATGGATAATAAAACCTTTTATACTAAAATGGGTGAATTATACACAGAAACTTTTATTAGTTTCGATTTATGGGATATTATCCTATTAGGTACATCAGTCCTTTTCCCATTATGCAAATTCACAATGAAATTACAAAAAAGTAATATTGTAATAGGTGATTTTTTTGCTTCATGGCTAGAATGCAAATGGAGCTGGAGGAAATGGATAATAATTTATCTAAAAGTATGTTGGAATGTTTACATTAGAGAAAGCTATCTTTTTCAAAATGACGCATTTCGTAGTGCGATATATATGGATCCTAGATTCCATTATGAAAATGGAAAATATCCTTTGGAAGAAGATAAAATATTGGCCAGGGTAAATTAATAAATTTATAATATACATCTTTTTGTTTTAGGAACATATATTTGCAACTTGGAAACAATTGCAAGCTATTGACCCTCATGAAGAAAATACAACTTTAGTTATGCCTTCCACTAGTAATTATAAAAAAACAAAACTTGACCTTTACATTGAGCGTGATTGCAAGAAGGGACCTATATTTTATGAATTATGTAATAGCGATATCAAGCTAAAAATAAAATCGTTATTATACAACAAAAGATTGCCATCCTCACAAGATATTTTGCAATATTGGGTTTCAAGAAAACACCAAGATGCAGAATTATTTAAATTATCTCAAATAATTCTTGCTGCTCCTTGCACCCAGGTCTCAGTTGAGAGAGCATTTAGTGCATTGGCACTAACTGTAACCTCTCTAAGGACAAGATTAGACAAAGATATACTTGATGATATTTTAATTATAAAGCTTAATCGTACATTGTTAAATAATGTGATATTTTAAATAATTATTTATATAACCTATTTCATTATAAAGTTATTGTTTACATTGAAATTTTAATAAATAAAAATCATATATATGACTGATTTAGATTTTTTGTATGAATAGTATAATCAGAGGGGGGCGTATTTTACTAGATATATCCAAATAGTAGTTTCTAAGATCTAAAATTGATTTAAAAGATTAAAGAAAAAATATTTTTAAATTTGTTGTTCCCAAAAATATCATGTTTATATTGATGCATCTTTCTAGTTCAACTCCGTTCCGGTTGGCTCTAAAAATTTAACATATATGATACTATTATCATCTGCCTAGAGGTTTAAGTGTTTCCCAACAAGATCATATTAACCTAATTTAAAAATAATGGATATGACTATGAGTAATGTGATAATTTCAAAATATATATATTAAAATAATTTAAAAAGGGAGTTGAGAATTAGATATGTCACTTATCTATGGTACATATTCACTGAAATTTTAACTTAACATGTGTACAATTTATTATTTTACCCTTTAAGTTCAAAAAAATTAAATAAAAAATTAAAAATGATAATTGTCACTTTTCTATGGTAGATCTCCACTGAAATTTTAATTTAACATGTTTACAATATATAATTTTACCCTTTTGCTTAAAAAAAATTAAAAAAAGATTAAAATAAACGTTTATGACAATTGTCACATTTCTATGGTACATCCTCATTTAAATTTTAATTTATCATGTTTATAATTTATTATTTTACCCTTTTGCTTCAAAAAAATTCAAAAAAGATTAAAAATGGCCATTATGACAATTGTCACTTATCTATAGTACATCCACATTTAAATTTAACAAGTTTACAATTTATTATTTTACCCTGTAAGTTCAAAAAAATTTAAAAGGGATTAAAAATGACGATTAAGACAATTTTCACTTTTCTATGGTAGATCTTCAGTGAAATTTTAATTTAATAAGTTTACAATAAATAATTTCTTAAAAAAAAATCAAAAAAGATTAAAAATAACGATTATGACAATTGTCACTTTTCTATGGTACATATTTACTGAAATTTTAATTTAACAGGTTTACAATATATATTTTTACCTATTTGCTTTAAAAAAACTCAAAAAAGTTCAAAGATAACAATTATGATAATTGTCACATTTCCATGGTACATCTTCACTGAAATTTTTATTTAACATGTTTACAAATATATAATTTTACCCTTTTGCTTCAAAAAAATTCAAAAAAGATTAAAAATAACGATTATGACAATTGTCACTTTTCTATGGTACATCCACATTTAAATTTCAATTTAACATGTTTACAATTTATTATTTTACTCTGTTGCTTCAAAAAAATTCAAAAAAGTTCAAAAATAACGATTATGACAATTGTCACTGCTCTATGGTACATCCACATTTAATTTTATATTTAATAAATTTTTATCCACTTGCTTTAAAAAAGTTTAAAAATAACGATTGTGACAATTTTTACAATCATTAAAACCATCTCGAAACATGCTCAAAAAATTTTTTCTCGCCTATTTAATACCTAAAAATAAAATTATTTTTATAGGTTCTCTTATGAATATTATGACAATTGTCACTTTTATAGTTTACACATTATATTAATTCATGTTTGAAATAATCATTTTTCTCTATTTCCAATTAAAACATATGTGAAATAAGTATTATGACAATTGTCACCTTTATATGCTTTACAATCACTGAAACCATCTCAAAACATGCTCAACTAGCCTTTTTTAATTATAATTATTTTTAAAGGTTCTGAGATGAGTATTATGACAATTGTCACTTTTATAGTTTACATTAAATATAAAACATTAAAATTATGACATTACATTTTTAAAATAATCATTATTACTTATTCCAAATATTAAAAAAAATGCAGTCGAGTCGGTATTATGACCAATTCTCACATTTACAACCTATTCAAAAAAAATATTTTCATTAACATAATAAAATAAAAAAAATATATATCAAAAATTTTATTTTTAAAGAATTTACCAAAAAATTTTAAGATCAAAATTTCAAAAATATTTTAATAAGATTTCCTTACAAAAGATTTTATTTTATTATAAAATTCTCAAAATATTTTCTTAAAATTATAGAAGATTTTTTTACAAAAAATATTTTTTATTTTGCTCAAAAATCTTCTTTGAGCAAGCTCAAAATTTTTTTAGCGAAAAAATCTTCGCAAAAAATTGATCTTCAAAGATTTTTTCCTCAAAATTTTGGGCGAAAAAAATCTTCAAATTTTTATTTGAAGATTTTTGTAAAACCCTGATCGTTACCAATCAATCATCATATATTACAAAATTTAAATATTTTTTTACAACCTAATGAATTTATGATTGTGATTTCTCTGAAAATTATGCATTTATATTCCAAGACGCTGTTCAAGGATTCCACTGGAATAATAATCAAGGCTCTATCCATCCTATGATAGCATATTATAATAATAATGGCAATATAGAAAACCTTAATTATCTAGTAATATCAGAGTGACTTCAGCATAATGTTATTGCAGTACATTTATACCAGATTAAAATGATAAAATTTTTGACCAATCAATTCAGCAAAAAGCCAAACATAATATATTACTGCTCTGACGGATGATCAGCTGCGCAATATAAAAACAAAATTTTTTTTATAATTCTGTGTTATCATGAATCAGATTTTGGTGTAACAGCTAAATGACATTTTTAAGCTACATCACATGGAAAAGGTCCATGTGACGGCCTTGGCGGAACATTAAAAAATTAGCAGCACGTTCAAGCCTTCAGCGCATCAGTTCTGGACATTTTAACGCCAGTTGATTTATATCAATTTGCAAAACAAAACATGTCATCAGTAAATTTTACATATATAACCAACGAACAATACAATTTACATGAGATTAAACTACTAGAAAGATTCAATTTAGCTCGTCCCATTCCAGGAACTCGGGAAATACATGCTGTATTTCCTTTGAGTTTAAGTAAACTTAAATCAAAAATATATTCATATGCAGAGGACTTTCAAATTAACAATATCTCAAATGCCGATAATTTGTCTTTTGCCGATATTAAAGGATTCGTAACATGTGTTTATGACGATTTTTGGTGGTTAGCCACAGTACTAAAAAGAATGAAATTACTGAGGAGATATATTTCCTTTTTACATCCCCATGGACCATCACCATCCTTCTTTTACTCCACAATTGCGGAAAAGATATGGTTACCCATTAATCAAATAATAACAATAGTAGATCCTATTATAGTGACAGGACTTACCTACAAATTATCGTCTCAAGAAATTCTATTAATAAGCACAAAATGGGATAAGATTAAAACAAGAGGTATTTATTTTTATATTGTTTGTTTATAAAATTTTAAAATATGTTTATTTTACAATATAGCTCCTAATAAAATCATATCTGTATGGGCTGCCTGCTTACATATCGCCCCAGGACATCATTCTTGGTTATACTCAATTGATTTATTAATTTTAATCACAATACTATTCATATTTTATTAAAAATTATATATTATTAAATTAATTTAATATAACGTCAACTATATTACATTTTTTTATTTATAAAAATAAAAAAAATTAAAATAAAATTAAAAAACAAAAATGGCTATCGAGATTTTATATTAAATCGTTTAATATAAAGGTAATAAACATCTTTAGAGAATATTAACACCCAAAAAAATCCCTACCTAACAATGTTAATTTTTTATTTTTACCGGAAATAAGAAAACACTTGAAATTTTTTAATTTATTTTAAATATTTCCAACGTAAAATTTTAAAGGCTATAAAATGATATATAATTTGTAATTCTATCTTAAGTATTTTTTTAAATAACAAGATTTAATGAAATCACGCACTTCGCGATTTTCGACTTTGAAGGCCTATATCTTTGGATCTGGTTGAGCTAGCACTCTAAAATTTTGATTTTATTAACATTTACAACATAAATAACTAACATGCCAAGTTTCATTCATTTTTGAGATAGTCGGCCGAATCGCTGGTCGATTTGTCATGGAATTACCCCATCATTAGATATAAAAATTAAAAATAAATGTAATCACTTTTTAAAAAATCTGGGCCAGGCCATGAAAATGGTACCTCTGTAAGTCTCTGCTTTGATTATAGATAAAAAATATTAAAAAAATTTTTTTGTACTTTATCACCTGAAACCTGGGTGAGTAATGTGATTTTTTATTTGGGCCAATCAAAGATTTAACAGGCTGGGCTTGCAAAAATTAGAGCTGCCTGGTACTCTTAATAAAGAAAAATTATTCTAAAGCCTAATTTTGTAAAAATAAAATTTTTTATTTTGCTTATAATTTTAGTAATAAAATAACCTTGATTCATATTTATCTTTCCTTCTCCTGCATCTTTTTTATTACCATAATAAGAAATAATGAATCATAAATCCTCATTATTGGTTATTATTCCATAAAATTTATATCTGAGTTTAGAAAAATTGGGCTAGCCCTGGTTGGACAACCTTAATTTATAAAATAGCTGTGTACAAATTTAGAGAGGCTAGGCCAGGCAAAAACTAAATTCAACTGGGCCAAGCTGGGTTTAAGAATTTTGCCATTTGCAGGCCATTACTTTATAAAATTTAAAATCAAGAGAGCAGCTAAAAAGAAGTACACCTTTTTTAAATATGAATTGAGAGCATGCTACTTTTATAAACTCAGTAACAGAATAGGAGCTCATTCCTTTTGTAATGGTAAGAGTTAGCTATTTAAAGAGTAAACAGCTCAGATAGTATATAAGTATATTAAATTATAATTTTTGCTGTTAAATAAAACTATATTCAATAATTTTATGTTGCCTGTAAAATCTTCCAAGTTTATTTTGCCTATAATTAAAAATGATAACCCTGTGGTCATTAAAAATATGATTTTTTTTCTAAATAATTAAAGATATAATTTATTTAGATAATTGCAATTTTATATTTAGTCTATTATATTAACATATTAAAATAAAAAATAAAAAATACTTCAATTTCCTGAGATTGCGCTAATCGCATGTTTGATGAATCTGACCTATTATTTGCTAAAAATTCTGAAGATTTTTTTTTTTGCTTAAGTTCCATTAGTTGCTTTTGTTCTAATTATAATATAGATAAAATAGAAATTAATAATATATAAACTTAAAAATGATATATATTTTATTAACCAGAAAATAAACTATAATTTAATATATAATCTTCATTTAAAATATTGGAAGGATTCAAATTTTTATAATTTATGTATAAATTTTTGCCTTTATGTGCAGTGATCAATTTGATCCTTTGATTGTATAAATTTTTTTCCGTTAAATGTTGAATATCAAGGAGTCCCTTAACTATTTCGCAAACTGTTCCATTAAATAATGATTTAATTAGATGTGGCAAAATATCTTCCTGCATTTTCTTTTGATAAATGCTTATATAAAGTGATAAATTATAATAAGGTTAATTAAACTATGGTAGCGTCGATGTCATATTTTCTAATAATGACTGAATTTCTTCACTTTTGTCATTCATAAATTCAGATAATTTTTTTTAAATTACGGTGTTTATAGATTCATCATGGGTGTAACTAAACTGAGAATTGACATTTAAACTGCGAATGGACAGGTAAACTAAGAATAAACAGGTATAAATTTATTTATGGCCTATCATTTATATTTTAAAAATATAAATAATGTATTTGTATTATGTAATACAGTGGCGTAGACAAGGGGGGAAGGGGGGGGGGTTAAACCCCCCCCCATAACCTCCGAAATTTTTTTTTTTTAATTTAAAAATATTTTTTGAAAATTTTTTTTAAAATTTTTCTTTTGTGAATAATTTTATTTAAAAACGGTTTCAATTTATAAATAAAATTATATAAGTTATGAAAATGAAATATATTTTAAAAAACAAATAAGAATATTCAATTTTGTATGATAAAATGGTTTAAAAATGTATATTAAAAATTATATGTAAAATATTAAATAACAAGAAAAATATATTGTAAAGTATTAAATAATAATAAAAATATATTGTAATTTTTTTTAGCATGGTTAAATTAGATATTTATAAATTTAATAATGAAATTTATATTGTTAAACTAATTAGATTTTAAAAATTTTATAATTTTTTATGATTTATAAATAAAAGAAAAATCATTTAATTTGGTAAATATAATGAGAAAGTAAAGGTAATAACTAATATGTTTGGGTTAAAAATTTTAAACCTAGAGTAGTTTTTAGATAGTCCAATCGCTTAAATATTGATGCATCTACGATTGAGGATTTTTATAAAATAAATATTTTTACTCCCCTTATTGATACATTTTTATTTCAATAAAAGGAAAGATTTATTAGTCACATTATTCTAAACAGCTTTCATTTTCTTTTGCCGGTAGAGTCTGAATTTTGTCTGAATACACTTGAAACGCGAAAGGATATTAAGTCTCAGAGTTTTATTCTGATGAATTATTAGGATCGTATGATAAGTTACATTGTGATGTCGAATTTTGGTATAAAAATTTACAGAATAGAATACTCTTTGAGACCAAAAAATGCTTTGCAGGCCCTTTCCATTGTAATATCTGCCTAATATCAAAACATTGCTTTTATTTTAGGTAGATTAGCACATGCACTAATGCAGCGTCTACATGAGCGGGAGGGGTAAGAACAATTCGCATCCTATTTTTTGAGGGGGGAGGGGGTAGGCTGCTTTAATGGGGGTAAGATAAATTTTTGGGGGGTTATCTATTAATTTTTGAGATGAAATAGGACAAAATTGCTGTAGAAATTAATACTTTTATCATAGAATAATTATAATACAATTCATCGACCAAATCTATATATTGCAAACAATCATTCACATTGTTTTCCAAATAAAACTTTCTGTTATCCTTTTAAATGTAATTTAAAAGGTTTAGATATTTCAGCAAGCTCATAATGCCATAATAATTAATTCATTGTAAATAATGGAGGTTTTAATTGAATTTATTATATAAAAAATAAATTCTTTATATTCACAAAATATCGATAGTTGGTAGTAGAGATAGATTAATTTAAGTTATCCTTTATAAAGTCTCTGAAATAAGTCTCAGTAAATTAAAAAGGTAAAAATCGGCGGCGGGATTTTTAGGGGGGTAGACAAAGGTTTTAGAAGGGGGTTTGCATCCAGTGAAAATCCTGTCATGTAGACGCTGCACTAATGAAAGGTCTTCTTCAATTTTGAAAAGGTTAAACCCCTATTTTAGAAATAGCACCGGTGAAAGCCGTTTAAATGATTCGTAATATTAAATATTTATAAGAAGATATTCTAGATAAAAATTTGATTCTAGATAAATTAGTCAAATCTCAGAGAAAAATACAATTCTCTTTATAAATTCAAATCTTTATTATAACATAAAATTTTTGTACTCAGTAAGTAATTATAATGAATTCTTAGTGATAATATTTAAATATTATGCTATTTTTAATAAAAATATTGTATTTGCAATAAGAATTAGATCTATATCAGGCCTAATTTTTCAAGTTCGGTCCGGCCCGAAATTATTTTGAAAATGTTTTGCCGGCCCGAACCCGAATTTTTTTTAAAAAGTTTTGTCGGCCTGGCCTGAATTTATTTAAGTATAGAAATTCATTTTTATAATTACTCAAAATAAAATATATATGTTACATGGCGTCTAGTTTTTATAAATAAAATCAAATATTTTTATTTTACAAAAACAATTTAACATAAAATTGAGGTCCGTAAAGTTGTAAGAACGATGTAAGCCATTATTTAGAGTCTTAATTGATCCTAATTGATCTTCAAACCAGACATCAGCGGAATGAAAGGTTATTTAGTTATAAGCAAAATAATGAAAGTGCGAAGATTTGTAGCTGTAGGAATGATTTGGGGATCAATTACCGAAACTTATACCATTGTATAGCCCGTTAATTGATCCTAATTGATCTTCTATCCGGAAGGCAGCGGAATGAACCGTTACTGAGTTATGAGCAAAATAAGAAAGTGTTGGCACTTTGCCAAAACCGAAAATATAAAAAATCACGATCTGAAACTTGGCAATTATTTAGGTTTTAATTTGTGTTTAATAATAATTTCCAAACCGGATAACGATATCACTAACCGCAACCGAGTTATGACCTGTTTTTAAAGCGTGAAGTTGTAAGAATTTTTTTAAAAAGTGAGGATCAATTACCAAAAACTATACCAAATTGTGGTGCGTTAATTGATCCTCCAGAATCTTTAAACCGCATATCAACGGAATGAACCGTTCGTGAGTTATAAGCTAAATAGAAAGGTTTTGGCATCTTGCCAAAATTAAAAATTTGAGCAATCATTTTTTTAGTTATAGCCAGTCAAAAAAATTAAAGGCTATTGAGTTATAAACAAAATAATGAAAGTGTGAAGATTTGTAGCTGTAGGAACGATTTGAGGATCAATTACCGAAACTTATACCATTAGATAGCCCGTTAATTGATCCTAATTGATCTTCTATCCGGAAAGCAGCAGAATGAACCGTTACTGAGTTATGAGCAAATTAAGAAAGTGCTGGCACTTAGCCAAAACCGAAAATATAAAAGATCACGATCTGAAATTTGGCAATTATTTAGGCTTTAATTTGTGCGTTAATAATTTCCAAACCGGATATCGATATCACTAACCGCAACCGAGTTATGACGTGTTTTTAAAGCGTGAAGTTCTAAGAATTTTTTTAAAAGTGAGGATCAATTACCAAAAACTATACCAAATTGTGGTGCGTTTAGTGATCCTCCAGAATCTTTAAACCGCATATCAACGGAATAAACCGTTCGTGAGTTATAAGCAAAACAAAAAAGTATTGGCACTTTGCCAAAACCGAAAATAAAAAGATCATGTTTTGAAACTTGGCAATTATGTAGTATTCAATACGTACATTAACAATCACCAAACCGGATATCGATATCACTAACCAATACCGAGTTATAACCGTTTTAAAAACGTTAAGTTGGCGGAGATATTTAAGCTGTAGGAACGATTTGAGGATCAATTACCGAAACTTATATCATTATATAGCCCGTTAATTGATCCTAATTGATCTTCTATCCGGAAAGCAGCGGAATAAACCGTTACTGAGTTATGAGCAAATTAAAAAAGGGCTAGCACTTAGCCAAAACCGAAAATATAAAAGATCACGATCTGAAATTTGGCAATTATTTAGGCTTTAATTTGTGCGTTAATAATTTCCAAACAGGATATCGATATCATTAACCGCAACCGAGTTATGACCTGTTTTTAAAGCGTGAAGTTGTAAGAATTTTTTTAAAAAGTGAGGATCAATTACCAAAAACTATACCAAATTGTGGTGCGTTAATTGATCCTCCAGAATCTTTAAACCGCATATCAACGGAATGAACCGTTCGTGAGTTATAAGCAAAACAAAAAGGTATTGGCACTTTGCCAAAATCTAAAATTCGAATTTTATTTAGAGCCAATATTTAGTGCCTCAATTGATCCTCCGCATTTAAAAATAATGTCAAAAAAAATAAAGAAAAGTGATTTATTAACAATAAGTGTTTCAGGGACGTGACAAATTTTGTATTCTTTAACGATGAAACTTATTTCTTAGAGCTCCATTACTAGTGAGCACTTTAATAAGTTTAATAGCCCAAATTAAAATGGTAGTTAATAACAAATAAATGGTGGTACACCAAAACAAAATCTAGAGCAGAAGAAAACATCCTATGCCATTATATAGTTATTTATTAGTTAAATTTCGTATTTAATTTGGTTAGCCCCATTATAATTTTTTTTAAAAGCTATGTAAATAATTCAAGGTCAAATTTACCTGAGAAATTATGGAAGCACTGCCCTATTAAATTATTACGATTTGCTAGGCCAATAATGTAGCTTTAAAGGCTATTATGTTTCTGTTATAAAAGTCTATTCCTTCCTAATTGATAGATCTCAACATTTTTTAAACAAATATATTCGAAGATGTACTATTAATTTTGAATTACAATAGCTATCTAGAAAAATTATGTTTTTATAACTTTTTAATACTTGGTCGTTTCAATGTATACTTAATATCATTCTCAAAAATTACCCTAAAAACTTTATACAATGAATATATAATATTTTTAATACTTTATTCACAAATCCCATGTATATATTCCCAAATATCATCCTGGATTCAAATTATATCGCTACTAAATTTCATTTAACTTTGTTGTAGTAATATAAAAAATAGCCAAATATATCGGCCTTTATGGCTTTTGAATTTGTCCCTTTATTTTAATCTCATATCTATATATATAATCCTCAAAAAACATCAATCAAATTTAGCCCATAGTATTTTTTAAAAAATATTTGTCCAATAAAAATCATAACATATAAATTAGTTACTGATCATAGTCAAATATATTTTTGTTATTAAATTATGTAATACTCTATTTCTTTTTTAATTATTGGAAGTTTGTCCTACTTAATTGACAAATTTTGATAAATTTATGTTAAATTATAATTTTAATCTATAAATTATTTAGCCATCTATCATCATATTAATATTTATTTTAATTACATTATATTTAAAAGTAGAAATGTAAATGTTTTATCTATTTTTTAGAATATAAATTATAAATATAAATAAATAAAATTTTATTATTTTGAAAATTTTTTTTATTGTGCACATAAATTAAAATAACTAAATATATACTTTATAAACATATTTTATCATAAATAATGTCATAGGT